CCACTGCACTCCAGTCTGGGCAACGGAGTGAGACTCCAACTCAAAAAAAAAAAAGAAAAAAGAAAATGGGCTGCTTTAGTTCTAGCCCAGAAGTATAGTGGAGACAGGAGAACTGTGCTTTTTCTAGTGCACAGAAATGGACAGCCACTGGCAGGTGGGTTTAGCGGGGACACCAGACAAATTCTGAATGAAAGGACAAGCCGAGAGCGGGGAAATGCATTTTTTACTCTTCTTCCTAAATCTTAATACAGCGATGAGAAAGTAGAAGCTATGCTTTTGGAGAAATGCACACTTTAAGTAAAAATTAACTTTGCTGACTTTGTCTTTTTTTTTTTTTTGGAACAGACTTCCTGGTGCCAGGTATCTCATAGGGAATTTACAAGACCTAAGATATCATACATTGGTCAAGGACTGTGAAAGTCGTGAAACTTGTAATTACAAAAAGTTATAACCTGCCCAGAGGGGGAGCGGGTGGGGACTTAATCTTCCAGTAGAACGGGCCCTATCTACAGGGAAGTCAAGGACCCCCGAAACTACCTACTGGGAATGCCTAGGAGATAAGGAGGAAATGCACATTTCATTAGTTCCAGGGATGTCGTTGGGGAAGATACATGAGAATTAGAATCCTTGTCACACCCTTCTTTAGGGGCTATGATAATGTGGGTGAACATTAATGAGTCTCTGTGTCACAGGATCTCCAAGACATCCATGGTGGTCAATAAGGAAGACACGGGCAGTCACGTGCAGTCACGAGCAAAATCTTCAAGGAAAGGATTTAAGCCAAGACTCTTGGGGGCTATGAGGCCACACTCACCTAGAGTGTAGGCCCACTCCCTGTCTGTGGGGGGTGAACTTTTCTTTAAATCTTTTCTTCTCTCACCCCTGTGTGTTGCAGTTCTTTGCATCTACCGGGATCTCTGGGTTGCCGGCGCGCACCTCTGGCTTGCCGGCACGCACCTCTGGCTTGCCAGTCCCAGCAGTGCTGCGCGCCTCCCTGCGCCTCTTCACCTTCACCTGCTCTGTCCGTACCCTAACACTGAGTCTCTGACCTATTAATCTATTAATTTCAGTGTCCGTTTCCCACCCCATCTCAAAGTTCAAAGTGACTGGATTTAGGGAAAAATTGGGTTAAGGATTGAATGGGTCTTCTGTACTTTAGCCCTTGGCTTGCAAGGAGATCTTTCTTCCCCTCTTTTAGAATTAAAAGCCTCTAATCCCCTAAATTTCATGTCTGGCTTTGGAGAAAAGGGGTTCTGGTTTCTATGACCTGCCTTGGGAAAGAGGCATTCTAGTTTCTATGGCTAACCTTAGTGGTAAATGGAACTGAAAGATAGTGGCTTAGAGAAAGATCAGAAAGAACCTTTTGCTTCTGAGGTCTTCATTTTGGAACTCTACTTTCTGAGTCTTAACATCCATGTGCAGTGTGGATGGGTAATTCAATTCAAGATCACCTACAGGAAAACAAATTTTGTGAAGATAGGAAAAAGATATAAAAGTTTAAAGCCACTTATTTTAAATAAGCACTAAAATTATGTTAAAGAAGCATACAAATATTTAAAATTGTACGTTAATTTCACATTTTGTCTGGTTGAGGTGAGAGATAAAGAGAAGAAAATCTCAGATGAGGAAGGGGAAGGGAAAGGCCAACAGGAAGTGAGAATAGAAGCTTGTTACCCTTAGCTCAGAAGTTGGGTTTCAACTTTTGAGTCTTAGGTGAGTTACTCTGTTACTCTCCCACGTGGACAGGAAATTTGAGGGCATCATCCATCACCACCCTTTGAAATGCTAATCGATCAGCCATTCAGCCTAGCTTCCCAGAATACTACAGGCCTCTGAGGATCACCCAGTGGGACAGCCACAGCCACACCAAGAGGAGATCCTTCCTGCAGAAGCAGACAGCAATTCTACCCTGTAATGTGACCTAAGAGGCCAGATATAGAAGCTTAAGTAAACAAGGGAACAGAACAATGGGATGATGGGATATATAGTAGCAAACTGCTTATCAATTTCCATAAGGAAGTCCTTTATCTTCACACAGATACAGTAAGAATTCAACATTGGCCACTTACCAGCTTTCACTTCAACCCTTTACACCTGGCCAATCCATCCCTTCCTTCCCTCCCCGTTCCCCCCCCAACAAGTGCATCTAGTGGTTAGGAAAAGACAAACAAAAATAACCAGTACAATGTACTGCTTTCCCCACTGTCACTGGAGAGTTAACTGCAGGGTATAGTCAAGTTTTCTCAATTCTTTAGCTTCCTTCTGGCAACATTTGAGCCCACATGCAGCCCCAGGACTATGCTTATTTGTTGAATGGTTAGCTTTCTAACTTTGCTGTCATTAACAGCCAAACCCTCTACCACTCCTAACCAGTATTCAGACCGGCAATGTGAACATCTCCTGGGGGGTTGTTAGAAATGCAGAATCATGGGTTGTGCCCTGGACTTTCTAAATCAGAATCTGCACCTTGGCAAGATTCCCTGGGGATTCTTATGCACATTAAAGTTTGAGAAGCATATGCTGGCCTCCCCAGCTCTTATCCTTTTGCATTCTAAATTATCACCCCTCTGCCAGAAACAATGCTTTTTTAAACAATAATTTTTATTTTAAAGATGTGGGGTACGATTCAGGGTTAGGTATACAAATGGTCATTGTACAGGTAAAGTTTGGGTCTCACTCTGGTCCCCACTTCACCTGGTACCCTTATTGATGAAGTGCCTACCACCCCACCCCTGGGCAGTTTCCCACTACTACCAATCCCTTTTTTTTTTTTTT